TAGGTACAGTTGTATGTAAAGGTATCTGCAGCATTTGTTATTTTGATGAGAAATTTGTAGAGCTACAAAGAAAATTCTTCAACACAATACAGCTATATAGAAACCAGAAGAACTGCAGATGTTGTAAATTAGAAAAAAAACAGCAAATGCTGGAAAAGCTCGGCAAGTTTGGCAGCATCTGATGAGAGAAATCAGAGTTAATATTTTGGGTCCCGAGGAAGGGTCACTGAACCCTAAAATGTCAATTCTGATTTCTCTCCACATTTGCTGCCAGACCTGCCGACCTTTTCCAGCAATTTCTGTTTTTGTTGCTAGCTACTATATGGGTTGGATCCTATTACTGAGATACTCCTTCCTTCTAAGATTACCTGCTCCTAAAAGGGGAAAAGCAATATAAACAGACCCTTGTCCTGTGCATTCCTTGGGCAAGAAAGCACTTGTCAGCTTAAAGATTAGTGAACAGAATAGACTGAATGTGCTCCCACTGAAATCTGATACAATATTTAAATGGAATTAAATTGCATAGCCATCATTTAAATTTGCTTCAGAGAAAATCAAGTGAGCCCCATGTAAAGACCACAAAAGGGAGAAATGCCTAAATAAAGATTAGAGCAATGCAACAGAATTGTTAAAACCCTGAACCATTTCAGAAAGCGTTACATTTAGTTATGAATTGCTCATGGTACAAATGCTTTCTCATACTAGGATCTGCAAGGAAAAAGAACTTTTAATCTAACCAACTGGATTAGAACATGCTTTGTTACATTACTGACAACGTTGAAAAATTGTTAGCAGCTGTAGCAAGGAACATTAACCATTTGTCAAACTAACAGCGAGCTATGTTAGTGGAATCAGATTAAAGAAACAACTAGCTAGAAGGAGGGAAAAGGAAGAGCATAATTTAAGTTCTAAACAAATCTGTTACTAATTTTGACATACTTTAGATTTTAACTTCTGAATGGTGAGGTTTCCCTCTTTGAACTCCTATAAAGCTTAAAATTCATATCAGTATCTTCAATTCAACTTCAAGCGCATGTCTTTTTCCTTTTACACAATGCTTTACTAACTTACCATTTCAAAAGTTTTGGCTAATACAAGGTAAGTGCAATTACTTCTCAGTTTACAAAACTGAATTATCAAAAACGACTTATAAAGACACCTTTGGCACCGCATGTCCCTTGTTTATTGATTTATTGGGGAGGTAGTGAGACACTTACTATAAAATGGGAAACAGCTCAAAAATTATTTTGAAATGTGCATCTGTCAACACGAGAAAAAATAAATTTCCTAAGGCATACACATCAACTTGAAAAACATATGAAAACCTTTTGATTTAATCATTTGAACATGAAGTATCTAATCTTGGTCTATCAATAATTAATTTCTACTCCTAAAATCAGCATGCCCTGCATGCACTAACACACACTAACTCCAATAGTTAACAAGTTTCAACAGCATTTGAAAGCAATACAGAGAACTATAGAAATCAAGACTTTTTTTAACTGCTGAATCAAAACACCTGTTACACAGAACTTAAAATGCCCAATAGTAATTTAGATTAGCAAATGACAGAATGGGGAGCTTTAGGTTTTGGGACTGACTGTATACAATAGGATAAGTAGAGAACTTTATCATCAATTATTAAAATTAAACATTTCAAATTTTAAAGTTAATATTTGAATGCAATGGTTAGAGTTAACTTGTGAAAGGAACATGTGTGTTGTTCAATAAACTGCAATCTTAAGGAAAGGATCAAACAGGTAGAAGTCAAATACAATCTTGTCAATAGGAATTGAAATAAGAAAGACCGACTACATTTGAGGAGTACACATGCAAACAGAGATAGAATAGGGAACTATTTACATGCGAAGCTGCTTTGCACCATAAAGCTCTTCAAGACGATTATTCCCAAGTATTATGTTGAAGTTGATGAATGTGTCAAATGAGCACAGAGCAACAAATCCAAAAGGCATGAAACTATTATGTACCAAAGAGATTAAGAGCGATGTCCTAAATAATGTTACTTACTTGGCTTTAACCTTGGATTTGCAAGTATGGACACTGCAGAAGCAAATAAGGACTAGCCAGAAGAAAAAAATCAGTTTCGAACCTTAAAACAGCACGCAATAGTCATGGTGCTATTAAATAAAGTGAACGTGCAGAATATTTTAGCATGCCTGCTAATGCTCAGCTCAGCACACATCAACTAACAAACTAAACAGTATTTCTACATTAAGATATGGCAACCTAGTGGTTATGGGAGTGGACTAATAATCTAGAAGTCTTGGAATCTCAACAATGCAAGTTGTGAAACTGAATGCAATAAATCTGGTGAGATAGCACTGCAAAATAACTTTGAAAACTGCTTTTTTTTTTCCTGAAAAGTCTACAAATCCCACATGATCCTTAATGGATTCTACCTGGACTGGCATGTCACCATCCCAATACTGTGGTTAATGCTTATTGCCCACAAAACAGTTAGGATTGGGCAAATAAGACTACCTTTCACATCTCATCCAAATTTCAAGAAGAAACATAGAAAAATGCCAAAAATTGTTGCTCAACCCCAGCTGGGAGCTGCGGCCTCGGAGTGGTGATCAATAATAGTTTAATAGGCTTGGACCCACGTTATACATAAAGCACCCCAGGTAAACAAGGTCAATAATGCTGTAATTTTACAGCTAGACTTGGATCACAATCCATTTGAAACATGGGGGATGGGTGGGCGGGGGGGTGAGGGGGTTGGTGGGGGAGCGGTGGTTCAGTGCAGAACACGGTGCAGTTTCAATTGCATTTTATACAGGTTGATGGCACCTAAACAAATAAAGAAACAATTAACTAAACCTGTTTGTTGCTTGTCAGGTAGTTTCCTTCTGGCAGTGTCTCCTTGCCAAATCTTAAATAAAGTCATTGAATTTCACTAATGAACCTGGAACCACACCGAAGTTGTGAAAAGGACTGGAATGAAAATGACAAAGCTTCAGATTGGATCCAGCTATCTAAAGTAACAACTTATCGTGAGAACAAGGAAACAAACTGTATTAATGTTAAATAGTAACTCCGGAAACAAAATTAGAAATATGATTTATGAAGCAGACAAACTAGCACCAAATGCAAGGGCATTTAACTCAGTTATTGGATTTTTTTTTTAAAAAAGCAGCACAGAATTCAACTGCTTGTGAAACAAATTTAATGACCCAACATACCAGAAGTTTAAAGACCCATTTGAAATTCTGGGATATGTATATATAGAGCATACAAAGAGACAAGTAGCTTAAAAGAAAACCAAAACATTTAAATGCTAGAAACAGGCAACAGGCAACTTAGCACACTTCACGTGATTTCCTGAGTGTTTCCGGCATTTTCTGTTTCAGTTTCATATTCTCAGCATTTCCAGATGTTTGCTGTTTAAGATTAAAACTAAGTTGATTGTTAGTTAAAAATCAAACTATCCAACAGAAACTCACTTTAGGATCAATCTCAGCATCATCATCTTCATCTCCCTCCTCCTCAACATCATCATCATCCTGTTAAAAGAAAGTTTCAGATCATTAAAATGGACTTTGGTGCCACTTAGTCAAACTGAAGTAGGCCAAACCAGTGTCTCAAGTTGCCAACTTAACACCTAAAACCCACCATAAATGATGACCATTTCCCAGCTCTGAGACACCGCAATTTTGAACAACAAAAGGCAGCTACTTCAGGGTCTTCCACCCAAATTACAGGATATTTATTAATGCTGTAACCCTCTAACAAAATCTTGTCAATTCAGATACTTGTTTCAAAATTAGTGCATTGCTGGCAGAATGCATGAGTAAAATGCATCATTTGCAGCAAGATTTTTCAAACCAGACATCATGTCTTCACAAAGACATGGAAGTGATACAATCAACAACTTCCTTTTCAGTAAGTGCAAATATGACACCTCTGGAAAACCGAATACAAGAATCTGCTTTGATGAGACAGCTCAATGCATTGACTGCAAAGTTCCTCTGCAGCGCTCATATGACGTTATGGATCCAACTTCTGGACTAACACAGGTGTCTGAACATGAAGAAATTCAAGCGTGGGGCACTTTGGTAGCGATGCAAGATGCTGCTGTGGAGTGAAAAGATATGGGTCTAATTCCTCCAAGATTGCACATTTATATTGCACAGATTAGTGGATTGATCCATTACTTCTTCCACAGCAAGATGAAAAATTTCATTAACGTCCCCAGTAGAAGCTAAACAATCAACGGGTGTTTGTTTTATAAAGCAAACCTATATCCGCCACCCATACAAACAGTCTTGCACCTACATGCACACTCAGTCAATATTTCCTATTATAAATCTAGCACCTATATTTAAATGAACAGTTCCTATATAAAAATCACCAGTGCAATTACAGTCTCCACCAGCAGTGTTTCAGTTCTCAATTACCCAGTTTTTCAGTTGAACTGATCAGAAACCCAACGTTCCAACAAATTCATCCCCATCACTTCCCAACTTGTCAAAAAAAAGTAACTAGGTAGCAATGGAAGAACTGTCTAAAAGTGAGGCGTCTTCAAAATGACAAGTGATTACTATTACACCTTCATGTCCTGATTGAATGGTCTCATTCTCCAATTCATCCTAAAGATTGTGCTAAAGTGAAATTTGATCAATAAGCTTGACACTTGAAAGGTGATTTAAGTCTGTATAAAATGGCTATTTTTAAATAAGTTTTCGTTCTACATGCTATTTTTAAAAAAAAACTCACTTTGTCCACCATTTTGTTCTATTTGATAGGCAATACAGTAGAGATCAATCTTGTCACAAATTTATTCATCTGCGAATCATAACAAGGAACAAAAATCACATTTTCCCCCCTACCTTATCCAAAAGGATAAAGACCAACTGTCATGTACCTGCTGCTGAGATTAACTAACTGATCACAAATTCATGACTGAACTTTAAGCATTCTGACTGTCAGCTATTTATCAATGAAAACAAATATAAAATGAATTAAACAGGGAAGCCGCAAAGTTTCTGCCTCCTGGGAGGAGAAAAAAAACTAAGTGAACAGTTTGAAATTTTTGATTACAAAGAAATTAATTTCTACAGTAAACTGCTTTTCTCCATTACAACTCAGTAATTCAAAGTACCTATGAGTGATAAAAGCTTCATCAATTTATCATTTACTATGGTATCAAGGAAAGATATTAAAACCTTCTAAACCACCACATAAAGGAAAGGATTTGTCCTTTTAGGCTGACTGAATAATCTCAAAGAGTAAACAAAATTCTTAAAGACATATTCCCTTCAATAGGACTAAGTTGCACTATGGAATTTCCCTAAAACACATCTTGTCTATGCGTTAGGTGTGTGTTTGGGTGCAGTATTCCAATCATCAAGCTTTCAAATAACCTTATTCTCTCGCTCCCCTCCAACCCCAAAACAGACAATTATACCACTGTTACATCAGATCTTAAATAACCCAATTCCACCTCTTCCCTCCACCCCATTAACCCAAACAGACAAGGAGACTCTTGTTTATTTGGATCCCTTCAATTTGATTTAAAATAATTCACATAGTCAGCATGGGATAAACTTGACATGATTAAAGTATCTTGTTACCAAAAGTACAACTAAAAACAGTACAGACAGCATATCCAACAGCTGTAGCTTAAAACAGCATGGGACATATATTTCAAAAGAAAAGAATTTGCAAGGTTACAGGGAAAGAAAGAGCTAATGGCTAATTAGCTACGGCTAATCCATTAGCCAACTCAGCAGACTTCTGTGCTCTCATTTTACGAAAAGCCAACTCAACACCTTTGAACAAATGCAAATACAATTAGTTATTGTATGACCACATTGCCTGTGCTAACTTTCCACTCCCATAAGCACACGTGCTATCCTTTCAGCCCCTATAGTGCAGCTGTACACAAGCACCATTATTGCATTTCCAAGTGCAACCACATGCTCAGCTCTGTTGCTCCATTCCTTACAATGGAAATGCAAACCGAGCATTACTGGTCCATTCCCTGCTGCACAGCCGCATGCCCAGCTGTTACTTTACCTAAAGCAGTTTCCATAATACGATTTGCTCCAAAATCAAAGAAAAGAGAGTGCAGCCTGGAGGAAAGACGCTAATTCAGTCAAGCTGTCCAGGATAGTGCTACATGTCTTAAAGAACAGGACAAATATGAGCAGGAAGGGCCACATGGTCTTCAGCCTGCATTGCCATTCAGTACAAACTTTGGCATCAATTTCACTCTCCCACTTTAGTCCCACATTACCCCAAAAAACGGTCTATCTTTAATTTGATTAACAAAATAACCACAGCTCTCCAGAATGGCCAATTTCAAAACTTCAGAACATTCTGCATGAAGAAATTTTTCACCCGTGGTAAATGGTTAACCCCTTTGCCTGAGACTATTTCTTCAGAAAGATGATCAGGATTAATCAGAAACAAACTTGGTACTGAAAACTGATTTTGTTTTGTTAGTACCTGATACTTGGAAAGAAAACATGGTCAGACAATTTCATTAGGTGTCCTCTTTTGGAGGGCAAGATAAATAATCTACACATTTTTCTGAAGAGAAAAGGCAACTGCTAGAGTGGGTGCCAGCTGTAACATGCAAAGTAAAATAAATCTAACTGTATACTTTCTTACCTCCTCTTCACCTTCTTCACCTTCCTCCACCTCATACTGGAAAAGAAAAAGATTACATATTTCTTATGAAACCTAATATAATTCTAACATTGCAAATAACGTTATGCTCAGGCTTACACTTTTCAAACTATGTAACCTCCAACAAAATACATATTAAAGCCCGATGAACATGCTCTGCATATTCCTCTGTAGGAAAAGTTACTCGTTGGGAAATTTCAGTACAGATAATTCTTCCATTCTTTACTTTTTGTGCAATTTATTTCCAAACTTGTTTTAAGCCTTAAGTTTATTTATAAAAAAAATCTTCGTCAAAAGTAGTGTTGAGACCACAATGTAAGAAATGAAACCAACATGTTGGGAGTACAATGTCAAAAGTTTACCAGGTCAGAAAGGCCAATTACAATGTTTAGGGATGTTTAGCAGGTACATACTCACCCAAAGTTTCTTTTCAAAGGAACATATCATAGCTGCAGGCAAGTATAATGATCTACACATTTAAATAACAATAGATAGGTTAAACCTTTCAAAATCAAAAAGTACACCAGTGGTTTGGGCAGGATTAAGATCAGAGACACAAGACTCCATATAATGCATAGCCGAGTTATTTTTGATTTTGGCATTATTTTATTTTAGATCTTATTTTAGGTCACTGCATTTCCTGCTGCAGAAAATACTTCGACCTTGAAATCGAAGCTGTGTAGATGTTCCCATAAAGAATGATTTCAACGGAAAAGAAGGTAAATGTTATGCTGCAATGAAATAAGTTGCATTAAATGTCATGAACAAAGTAACTGGTATTATCTTTCTTACAAGCCTCAATTTTTTATGATTTCTACCTATGATATCCTACATAGTAGTTAGTTAGGTAACATGTGGACTACTGTCATTAGTGACTTATTTCCCTTGCTATTTATTAGTTTCACCCAATCTAATTCGGGAACTTGAGCTTCTAAATCGGTGTTATTTTGTACCGCGCCATCGCCATTAACAATGTGACTCCACTTTTTTTTTGCCCAGCCTATAGGAATGTCAAATTTCCTGAAATATTCAGTTCCCAGTCTTGGTCATCTTGCAATCATGTTTCTGTGATGATCGTATTAACATTTTTTTTCTTTTTCTGCAACTGGTTCAGCTACTTTGTTATGATGACTGCACGCTTTCAGATAATGAGTCTTCAAATTTGTCCTTTCACCATTTTTTCAAAGCCGGACCCAACTTTCAGGTGGACTTGTCTATTTTTATGGTCTGTCACTTCCTGTCACAGAGGTTTGTAAACTTGCCTTATTGCCTTGGACTACCTCAATTTTCTAAATCATGCTCACTGAACTCTCTTTCTCTGCCAACCCTTACCTCAACTATTTTATTTAAAGCCTCATCCTACAAATCTAGCTATTCAATTCGTCAGGATACTGGTCTCAATGTGGTTCAGGTGCAGTACCACCCATTAGAACAATTCCATCCTTCCTCAGTACTGTTGTCAGTATCCCAAGAAATAAAATTAATTTTGTTCAAGTGAATCTGGGGATTGTAAGCAATGTTTTAAACAAAGCACATAAATTTGCTAGAGACTCAAGTTGTAATCCAGAGATTACCTTCTTTGCAGTTCTTTTTAAATTTAGCCCCTAGTTTCCCACACTTTTTACTCTCACTCTCTCTTGGTTAAAACTAAGTTAATGGCACCCGAATTGACCTTGACAACTGGATCCTTCCTACACTATGCCAAGTTTCTCACCAGGTACCCGGGTATCTGGTAGATAAGACATCCTGTAGGATTTTTGCTCCTGCTTGCAGACAAGCATGTTGAAATGCCTAAATTCTACAGCTTCGATGCACCACCTCTACTGTATTTTAACTCATTAAGTTTTCAAGCTCACAAAACATGCAGTCCTTTTCTTTAAAAAAGCTCAGAAATCCAGATTTGCAAGCGTGCACATTGTCTAGTCTACAGAAATGTATCAATTCTCTGCTCAAAGTGATCGTAGAGTTGTTTTAAGCAAACAATAAACACTCAGACATCACTTTAGTTGAAAAGTTCATGTGTTGTTCTGATCAATATTCAAGGATTTTAGTAAGGTCTGAAGTGAATGCTACAAAAGCGATCTCTTCTTAATAATCATAAAGGTCAATTTCATGACATCCGCTGCTGCCTGCTGCTAAATGTAAAGAAGAAAACTGTTTTAACTCCATCCAGACAAAGCTATGGACCAATTTTCAGTCCATGGATTTTGCTGACTTAATGAGACTTGAATCAAACACAGTTTAACAGGAACCATTAGAAGCAGGTTATGAACAGTGCAAACACACCTGGATCAATCTATCTCCACTCTGCCCATCTCAAAAGTACCTAGCCCCGCTCCACCCAATACCTGGCATTAAGACAGATGAGGACTCGTATGTTGAATACTGGAAAACCATTTTATCTTCTATCCGCCCCTCAAACTGCAATCCTAAAATCCGTGCATAAATTATTTTTCCTTCAGCCAATTCCTCACCTACAATGCGGTTTCCAATTATTTCTCTTTAATTTCAATTGAGCAATTTATCAAAAGACTAATTTACTTAAGATATCCTCAAAAAATGAAGCAAATTCAGCATAGATATAACAAGGTGTAGAGCTGGATGAACACAGCAGGCTAAGCAGCATCAGAGGAGCAGGAAAGCTGACGTTTCGGGTCTACACCCTTCTTCAGCAGATAGGATCTTTTAACTAAAAGCTATTTTAATCCTAGTCACCAAAGTCTCATTGACATTCAATATCTGTGACGATCACTGTTCCCTTAAGCTTGCTCCACCGTTCAGTAAGATCGCAGCAAATCTGTTTATGCTGTGTTTTGAAGTCCACACCCCAACTAACCCAATAATGTTAGATTATTATTAATTAAGCAAGAGAATCAATCTAGCCCCGTGTTAAAATATTCAACAACTTTGCCTCCATACTCTTCAGAGGCAGAGAGTTCTGACGATGTAGAATCCTTAAAAAAAATTCCCTTCATCTATCCTAAAAAGGGCAGCCCCTTGTTTTTAAATCATGCCCCCAAATCTGGACTCACCCACAAGAGGAAGCATCGTTTCCATATCCACTTGGTTGTGACCTTTCAAAATCTTGTATAATTAAATTGAGTCACAGTTCACTTTTTAAAACCCAGTGAAAACAAACCCAATCTGTCCAACCTTTCCTCACAAGACAACCTGTACATTCCGGTAGCAATCTAGTAGACCTTCTATGACCAGCCTCCGATGCATTTATGGTCTTCCTAAAAGGAGATCAAAGCTGCATACAGATATCTGAAATATAGTCTCACCAATGCCCTACACAAATAAAACGTAAAATTCCTTACTTTTATGTTCAATTCTTCTTGTAACGAAGGATAGAATTTCATTAGCCATAAATACTCCCTGTACCTGCATACTAACTTTGTGACTCACGCACTTGAAAACTTAGATTTCTCAGCACCTTGGAATTATGAAGTCACTCTTCATTTAAGTAATACTATTTTTTGTTAAAAAGATTTTCTTCTTATCGAAGTGAACCCCACATTTTCCCACAATATACTCCACTGGTCAGTATTTTTTACTCACTCAATATATCCACGTCAGGATCCTAATGTCTGTTTCACAACATATTTTTCTACATATCTTTGGGTCATATGCAAATTTAAATACCATACCCATGCTCCCTTATCTAAATACTGACTAAACTGGGACACCACCACAGACTCATGCAGCACTCCACAAGTCACAGCTCTTCAAAGACCCATTTATGCATATTGTCCATTTTCCACCAACAGCCAATCTTCTTTCCATGCTAAGTACATCACCTGAGGTCTTACTTTGCCAAAGAACCTTTAACATGGCACCTTGTCAAATTCTGGAAAATCAAGCACAATACATCAACAGACACCCACTTCATCTATTGCTTATTTTACTCCTTCAAAAGAACTCCAATAATTTATTTTCAAAATAACTTCTCTTTCACAAAGCCATATTGATTCATCCGAATTACCTTGAGTTTTCTAGTGTTCAGCTATAACTTCCTTAAGAGATTCTAACACCTTCTCATGACAGACATCAAAATAACTGGCCTATAGTTTCTTGCTTTTTCCTTCTTGAATAGAGGAATTATTTTTTGCTACTTTTCAATCAGACATTTCCAAAATCAGCATCAACACATCCACTACAATTGTTAGCCATCACTTAAGACCCTAGGATGAAGTACATCAGGACCCTGTTTCAGTCTACAGATCCAATTTACTTGGTACCACTTTTCTGCTAATTACAATTTCACCAAGTTCTTCTCTCCCTTCCACTAACGAATATACAGTATTGCTAGATTTTTTTTTGTATTCTCTTTAGTGTAGAGAGAAGTAAAAATTTTTGCTAATTTCAACTTCCTTAACACGTATTAATTTCCCACTGTCATGCCCTAGAAAACCACTCACTTTAATCTTTTCCATGTAAATACCTATAGAAATGTTTGTTATTTGTTCTTACTTTTGCAGTTGGTTTCTGCTAATTTTAATTTTTTAGTCAGTCATTCTTTGCTGTTCTTTATCTCCTACCCAATCATCTGATGTGTCATTCATCTCTGTGCAATTATATACTTTTTCCTCAAGGTTGATGGTTTCCTCAATTTTAGTAAGCCACAAAGAGTGGATCCTTCCCTTAGTATTTTTCTTTGTAGTCAGAATATACTGAGATATTTCAGAATATTCTTTAAATGCCTGTCCGCACTACTTAGTTGTGCAATTACATGCTTTCATGACTATATAATTGCCCTTATTTAAGTTTAAAATACAGGCTTTGATCCAAGTAGCTCCCTTTCAGAGTGTACACAAAATCAAATCATATTGTGGTCATTATCATCCAAGGGTGCCTTTAATCAGAGGTGATTATTTATCCAGTTGCATTACACAGTGCCAACTCCAGTTTAACCTGCTTAGATAGGTTGCAGAACATGCTGCTGCAAGAAGTTCTCAAAATTATTTGAAGAAATCAGGCTACTACATTCAGTTTGATGCTTCCAGTTTAAAATCACACATGATTATTGCTTTCCATTTATCACAAATACAAAATTTGTTCTCCTATATTTCATTCTATATTGGGCTTCCCATTAACGGACCTATACAGCATACCCGAGCGATTTCTTTTTCCTAAGGATAATATTTCCCATCTCCACCTAAACCAATTCTACATCCTAATTTCCTAAACCAAAGTAATTTTTAACTGTTGCATATTGATGACATCGTTGACAACAGTGCAACCCCTCCATGTTTACTTAGCTTCCAATTTTTCTTGAATGTCATTTAGCCCCTTCAGTATTCAGGATCTAATTCTTGCCATGTAGACACATCATTGTAACAGCCATCAGATCATATTTATTTACATCAACGTGCACTATCAACTAATTTACTTTGTTATGAGCACATTCTGATGCAGAACTTTTAGTTTGGCCTCATCTTTATAAATGTCTGATTGGGATTTTTAGCTTTTAGATTTATTCTCCCCTGTCCCTTCCTACCATTCTCCAAATTTCATTTTCCATATTACCATTTTCTACTTTTCTGCCTTGACTCTATCCATGTTTTGCTGCAACATCCCAAGGGTGACTGCTCATCCTTGGGTACAGATTGTCTTAGAAGTACAGCCCCCATTTTCTCCAGTACTGATAGTAGTGCCCCATGAACCCCATTTCTCCTATATCAGTCTTTGAGCTTCATATTAACTACACTAATCTATATGCTCTCTGCAGGTAGGCAGATAATAATCCAGGACATTATAACCATTGAGATTCTGGTCTTCAATTTGATGCCTTGAACCTGAACTGTCTAAGCAGACCTTCTTTCCGCATCCCACTAATGTCACAGTCTTAATGCCCACATTTAAGAGTTTGGGTTCAAAACAAAGTGGTCAAGGAGAAGGCAAGGTTAAGACTGCCTTCAGGCTTGAACTTCTTATAACACTGTTTATGACATACTAAGACCAAAATACTACAATACACAGAATTAGAAAATATAATCAGGCTCTAAATGTAATGTTAAATTTTTAGAAAGACTATTCCATAAACTCAACTGCTGAATGCTAATTGGTCTACTCCAACTTGGCTTCTGTGTAATTCTCTATTGTCTTCCTTAACTCTGTCCACACTGTGCTATTTATGCTCAGTGAGGAGCAGCTCCATGACATCATCATAAGATTGCTCCAGGGTCCCAAAGCTCATACACCAACTTTTGCCCCTATTCCTTCGCCGCCCTATCCCTCCTTCATACATGCATTTATAAACATTTTTTCTTAATTGCATCCACTGTAACTTGGACTGCCCAATCAAGAGTTAGAAGCTTTTTTTGATTCAAGTCATTTAACAACTGATAAATCAAAGACTGTCACAAATGAGCTCTTATTTTCAGTTTCAACATTAACAACAGAAACGGGTGACCTATGTCACCATGTCTGACCAGGAGAAACCACCTTTGCCAGCAAATCTTCTGAGATGCCACAAGAACATTGGCAAATCTGATTGCTACAACCTGGGCAGAGGAATCAGAATCCATTAATAAAGGCACCGAGGACATGAAGATCAGCATTTGGTAGCAAGATTTGTGGAACCTCAAACTTAATGTACAAATCCATCTTTAGATATGGATCATTTCACTTGTAAATAATAATTGTGCAATTGATAATCATTTTACATTTGCTTGCCAAATCCTATGGGTGAAAGTGGGGATGGATGGTTGATAGGCTGATCAACACTGTGGGCAAAAACAAGGCAAGTAGAGTTGCTGCATGTAAAGGGGCTTTACCATCAGCATTAGAAAACCCAGGTTCCATCCTACGATTAGTTACAGGTGGAGGCATAAGAGGTGCAAGGTTAAAGCGTAGGGATGTGACACCCATGAAGCCCAGAAGATCTCTGGATATCCTTCAGGTAGGAAACATACAAGTGGGTAACCTCCTGATTCAGAGCTTTCCAACCAGGACCAACAAGAGGGACTAAAGTGAGAAAAGTGATAAAGATTATTTTAAATGCACACTTTTCACCTTAGAACGCACTAATGTAGCTAGGAGAACTTTCTTTAAACGCAAAGAGAGATGCAGCAAATATTTCAGGCATGATGGAACACGAAGCCAATTTTGCATAAACCTAGCCAAGAATGTAAGCTGCAAAACTTAATCTTTGCAGCTTAAACCAAAAGACTTAAGAGTGACGAGATGATTGGCAGGAAAAAATGAGAACATGAAAGGGACGTCTGCAGAGACTATTTAATGCTAAGAATATGCAATGCAAGTGCTAAAAGAGTCAATGACAAGTGAACAGTAAAAACATTTTCAGGAGAGGCCTTGGTGGACTTTTATTACCAAGTGCGTCTTTCCAATAAACATCTAAATAACATCTACAATAATTATGCCCAAGACTTAGTGGCTGATTTAAATCACCACCAAAAAGTTATTTTCTTGATTTGGATGATCAATGTTAGAATTTTGATAACCTTGCACTGGAACATTTTGTTGCCTTGTTGCATTCTTCATTGATTAAAACTGTTGCTGAGCTTTTGCTGTTGCAAGTTTCTGCTATCCTAAAATGTTGTTTTCAATGTAAAGTTTGGTTTTCATTTAGATGCATAAAAGATATTCCTGTTCCAGATGATCCGAGAGCAAAAACTTCCAAACTGGCTTCAATCACAAGATACATTACTTTTTGAAACTATCAAAAGATAGTTTGACATAATTCATCATCGCCTTTTTTCAGCAGCCAAGGCATTTTGTAGTGAATTCCACACCATGTTATCAGATTTTTAAAAGATCTACGATGTTGATTTTTAACAATTAAAATAGATAAAATTTCAGTGGCTGAAATGAAGTCTCGCCGCTCACCAAAACAAAGATTTAACTAGTTTCACTGTTAATGTACTGAAATTTCGAATTCCAAAAGACTCCTGATTTTTTTTTTTTTTTTTTAAACAGTCAATCCTCAGTCTGTTTCTGAAGAATTTCCTAACCTGCCTGTTGCCAGACTTGTTGTCAAACAAACAGCTTAAACTATCACATCGCTGCATAGTTTTTAAGTTTCCATCCAAAACTCTTCCTTCTTCTTGCCTTTGATTTCTCTGAGGAACTGATCCCACTTTGGATGTCTGGTAACTGGCCTCTTTTCATGAATGCACATTCTGGATTTATTCCCTTGGCTACTGGTAGACTTTTACTGCTCGCTGTTATAAAGAAAAAGTTTGTTGCCTCTACTAGTGACTAAAAGATATTTTTATTCAGATTCAGAGTTGGTGTTGGTGGCTTCTCTCTAAAATTTTCCTGTTTATATTTTTTCTTCCACAACTGATCTTCAAATCTATGGCTCTTCTGGCTGCTAGCTGGTCTTAAAGCTTAAAAAAAAACAAACCAATGATTTGAGTCCGATATATTTCAGGGCTGCTTCTTGATCTTCACTCCTGCCACTTTTCTAGATCATGCATCTGTCACTGTCGCCATCTTTCATGCCCACATCCAAGAGCTTGATTCAATACAGAGTGATTGAGAAGGCAAGATCAAGAACCATCTTCAGGCTTGGCTTCTTTATAATGCTGTTTTTGTCAAATATTAGGTCTATATGCTACAGTATACAGTATTCAGTGAAAGACAGTGTCTGAAAGCCCTTACGTAACAGTTGGTACCTCCATGATACATGTTGGTAGATCTCACACTGCATCCCCTCCGAGCTCTCCAGACCTGGAGTAGATGTCCTAAATCTTGGCACTGAATGGATGAAGTAGCCATTGGGCTCGTGCTCTTGGCTACGCAGAAGTGCCTATAACACCTTACAATACCCTGCTATGACTACATTCCTTTTTACTCCTCATTCAGAATTTGAAAGTCATCCTCAATAAGATGCTCCGACCAGTCTGTTTCTCCTCCCTCTAAGTCATCCTTATTGTCGAGAAACCTTAAATTTACTTTCTGGATGACAGCAAGGCCTGAAGCTACTGCACTGCAGAATTTTCAGAATTCTTGCCTACCTCACTTAGCACCCAGTTTATCTTCAATATGCTGTAATATGGTCAACACTTATTCTAGGGAATTTATTTTGTGCCTTTTAGATTGTGCCGACCAAAATCTAATTTACGTAAAGATCCTCAACTCAGCATAGATCTGTTATTACTTATCAAATGGTGTGCAAGGCTTGATCATTGAATGCTTCAAGGAAGTAGTTAGAGACTCCCTGTTCATCCAACGTTTCACATTCGATGGAATCCTTAGCACTCAACTCTTTCGAGTGCCACACTGTTTTCGTTTTCACAACTTATCAATAATAACTGGTCACAAGTTAGCAATGTACTCACATCCTCATCATCATCTATGGCTTCTCCAGTGAAATACAAGACCGCTCGAGGGACTATCCGCTCACGGAAAAAGTGCCCAATTTCAAAATCTGTGGCTAAATTAAACTCTTCATCCTAGGAAATAATATAATAGTTTGCATCCAATCAGTTCATTATACCCAATTGTTAGCACAATACAATATTTGTGTTATGATTCATATCAAAAAAACTTCAAGTAGTTTAAAAGAAAACTCCCCCCTGGCAAGTTTCCACTCATATACTGCATGGTTATTTTTTGTACAAATTGATCTTAGATGCTAGTCTGCAGAATAAACAACAATTTCTCATCAAGACAAGCATGCCAACTGCAGTACATTCACTTAATCTGACTGTAAAACTACAGTGTATCCTCAGATTCTGAAACAGTCTGTCAAAATGCAGCAAGAGCTGGACAACATTCAGGCTTGGATCGATAAGTGGCCAGTAATGTTTGTGTCACACAAATGCCTTGAATTTTGTTTTGACAAAAAGGCAGAGGTGTGGATTTAGAGTCATTGAATCATGCAGCACGGAAACAGACCTTTCAGTCCAAATTGTCCATGCCAACCAAGTTTCCCAACCTAAAACTAGTCCCATTTGTCAGTGTTTGGCCCATACTCATGTACCTATCCAAATGTCTTAATTGTTGTAACTGTATCTACCACTTCCTCTGGCAGTTCATTCCACACATGGACCACCCTCTTAAAAAAAAAAAAAATTGACCCTCAGATCCCTTTTAAATTGTTCTCCTCTCACCTTAAAAATTATGCCCTCTAGTTTTGAACTCCCCAATCCTAGGGGATACACTTTCGCTATTCACCTTATCTAGGATTTTAAAATCCTCTATACCCCTCAACCTCCTACGCTTCAGTGAAGGATGTCCCAGCTTATCCAGCCTCTCCTTATAACTCAAACTCTCCACTCCTGGTAACATCCTTGTAAATCTTTTCTGCACCCTTTCCAATGTTATTGAATGCTGGAGTGGGCTCAAGGAGATGAATGGTCTACTCCTGCACCTAATTCATACGCTCAAATATACTTCATGTTACAAAACGTAATTTTCCATCTGCCTTTCAAAGTAATAAAAATGACTTTAAATTCTAGTAACCTTTCAAGTTGACAAGGCTCCATTTGGACTAGACACTAACAATTGAGTTTGGAGGTTTAGAGAGAGTGCTCGAATGATCTCAAACCAAAATTACACAAAAATTACACCAGCCACAATTATACCACCGTCTCAGTGGACTTGTGAGCAGAAACAAAAGGAAATTTAAGGCCTCTTATACAATTAAAAGTGCTAATCACAAATCTGTTTGACAGGCACCAGACAACCACTCCAAAACACAAGCAGATTTGAAAAACCTTGCGAGTAGGACCTATGACAGGATTAATCCAAAAGACACATGGACAGATGTACAAGCAATTGGTCACCTTTATCACTTGGGGATCTCATCAATACAATCTCATTCATACAAAAGTAACGAGTCCACAATGCATTTGAAATTCATAAAACTGAAGTTATAATTCCCACATAGAAATATTCAAGCAATGAAACATAATGAGACAATTCTCAATGTGCAACACTCACAACGGAACACGTTGTTAAGAACAGCCCTACACAATTGGTTACTAATAACATTCAGAACCTAAACTAAAGCCTTAACATTGCCATATTGCAACTGTGCTGCTAAAGAGCATTGGACAGTGGGCAGGTACCTATAGGAAAGCTGATCATATCTGCACCAATTTAACTAAAAACACCTCCATGTAGCACTGGCAGTGGTCAGAGTGCAGATACATGACACCAAGCACATTATAGAAAAATCAGCAATATTCAATACCTTTAAAAAAGTTTAAATTACAATTAAGGGGCATCAACAGTCTGCTGCTGTGGACCAACCCTTTCTCTTTAGTTACACCATCGAGGTACTCACCATTTCTGCCTCACCATGTCCAGAAACTGAAAGTTCAAAAAAGAAAGATGTCAGTTATTTTTGTAGTGGTAGCTGGCTCAGGTTAAGGAATAACGGTGCTGGGAAACAACGCAAATTGAGGATTTTCGTGAAAGACTGACAATGGTTAATACTGTGCCGATAAAAACTAGCCCTGAAGACTTTAAGATGAATTAACTAACAACGAATTAAATCTCATTCCTTGTAACCTCCAAGTTATGCATGAATTCAGAAACAAAAAACTGATGTGACCTGTGTGTTGTTTTGAAATTCACATTCAATGTAATTAGATACTTTGAAATAGGTCAAAGTGTTCAATTACTAAAGTATGGTTTAATTTTAAGTCATTTCAGCTAATTTTCAGTTCAAGACCAACTTGTAAATGAACAGGTCCTTTAATGGTGCCTTTAAGAATGGATCAAGAAATCTTTTACTGGAAGCAAAAAGGAAACCAAATCAAATAATATCTCAACACATTCTGCAATGCGAATTTGATTTGTACCTATTAAAGCAGGCAATGTGTCCATTCTATTTTGTTAGGTTCAGTACTGAATCAGTGCTGCTTCCTGTTGGCTGACTGTTTTATCAGTTATAATTACCGACATGTTAAGAAGTACACATTCCTGCTCAAGCATTTCTCACAAGCACTTCATGGGCTGACTGTATTCCTTTCTATCACTTCAATTGATTGGCCTGGCTGATCAAATTCCACTCTCACCTCTTATTTCCCTTGGCTCTGAAGAATGGGCTGTCTCAAAGCTATCATTCTAGTATGTGATAGCTGTCAAGACCAGAGAAAGGAGGTTATTAAAGGAAGGAACATTAAATGTGTATAGTGGCAAGATTACCAAAATGTATAATAACATGCATAATCTCAAATCTAGAGGGATTTATAGATGGTTGACTTTAGTTGAGCTAAAATTATATTTTGTCATATCACACTGGGAACCAATTGAGGAGGGAAGTGATTATTTCCTTTTAAATCCACAAATGATATTTAAATCAGTGTTTCATATACTCCCTATTTGTTTGAAAAGGCAGAGGAAAGATGGCAATCATTTCTGTACACTTACTTGGTCTGAGCACATCCCAGCACATGGTAACTATTCATAGTCAAAATGATTTCTTCTTCTGAACACATTTATGTCCACTAACAGGCTTAGATGTTTACAACACAAGAGGCGGCCATTCGGCCAATCATGTCCACGCTGAAAGGTCGGACTGCACTAATCCTGTTTTACAACACTTGACCCATAGCCCTGGAGCCCATCACAACGCAAGTGAATATCTAAATAGTGTTTCTGGCTCACTCTTTCAACAGCGAATTCCAGATTTTTACCACCCTCAGTGAAAAAAATCTTGCCTACTCTCCCCTCAGCCTTCTACCTCTTAGCTTAAAACTGTGCCTTATTTATTGATCTCTCGATTAATCAAAACCAGGTCTTACTATCAGCTCTATCTATGCCTTCATCTTTCCTTATAGCTCAGACCCTTCAGCCCAGACAGCATCCTGGTAAACGTCATTTGAACCCTAACTCAAATCACAGCCTTCGTATAATGTCGCAACCAGAACTGTACACAGTACTCCAGTTGTGCACTAACTTTATATAGTTGCCTTTATCAGCTGAAGTACAGAATACAGAATCACACATGCCGCCTTAACCATCTTATCGACTGCTGTGTTACATCCAAGGATCTGCGGACATACACACCACAGTCATTCTGATCTTCCATGATCCTACCACTGTCAGTGTAATTCCTGCCTTGTTTTATGTTGCAGCATCTGAGTCTAATTGTTCAAACAATTGCACATATATATACTAAGCACTGCAATGGACAACTGCAATATTTCCAGTCACAGAGCTTCTCAATAATGGCCTTAATTCCCAACTCGAGCAAATGCTTGTGATTTGAATACTGTTGTTGAAGAGGAGATAAAGACAGGTTAACCTACTTTGTACTAGTAGAATAAAGAGTGAAATATATTGAGTTGAAGGCTTTGAGGAGCTGAAGCCTAGGGCAGATCAGCTATGATAGACAGCCAGAGACTTTTTACTAGGGTGGAAGTAGCTATTACGAGGGGGCATAGTTTTAAAGTGAGTGGAGATAGATATAGGGGAGATGTCAGATGTAGGTTCTTTACTCAGAGTGGTGGGGGCGTGGAATGCATTGCCGGAGGGGGTAGTGGAGTCAGCCTCATTAGGGGCATTTAAGCGGCTATTAGATAGGCATATGGATGATCGTATAAGATGGGGTGGAGGTTAGATAGACCTTAGGTTTAGTGTAAAGTTCGGCACAACATCGTGGGCCGAAGGGCCTGTACTGTGCTGTACTGTTCTATGTTCTAAAAATCAGGAACAAAGACCAAATATTATGATGTTAAGTTTCCATTTCTTCCCCACCCTTTGATTACCTGAATTGTTCTCCTGTAAAGCTAATATTTCATTGCACGAAACTTTGTTTCACGACTTCAATGCACCAAAGTCGTCACATTTTACATTCTAAACTAAACCACACTAACAATAAAGATAATACAAATTGAACAACAGAATATTTACTGACAAGTCAATTATTAAAAATTAAAGACAGGTTAGAGTGTAGCCGAAGAGTCTTCAAAATCTACTTTGGCTTTTTCTCTGAAAGAGCAAACCATACTCTAGTGTTCAATTTTTCACTTCTGCTCAAGCACCTACCTGCAAGTCACGCTGGGTAAAAAGCCCCAAGTTTACAGCTTTGACAAAGCAGTTTAACCAATTCACTGGTAGTTCAAAGAAAATTTAAATTTGAAGTCTATTTTCAAATGCGGTTACATTTCTTAAACAAAATAAAATCAATTTCAGTTCATTCGTGCACGTGCTTTAGCCTATAGTTTTCTAACAGTTTTCCTGCCATGAGAAAGCTTTCTGCAAACTGACAGTAAATTCCAATTAGAGTCCAGGTGGTGCATCAGGTATTACCTTTTTATCTCAATGGTTGGTTTTAAATCCAGCCTACATTGAGGAGTTTAAGCTCTCTAACTTGTTGAGGGGTTAGGGAGAAAGTTGGGCCACCTTAATTTGGTTAACTTGGGGCGAACAACGAACTGGAACTCCAGCACACTTAAACTAGACAGCAAATCTCTGGTCATTAAAAATAATTAGGGACCATTTAAGTATATAGCTTTGAATTAAAACATGCCAATCTACAACCAGAAATTTATTTTAAAGGTCACAGGATTTGTGGCATACAAGTTATTCAAAACAGATTGCTTTGCATATCTCGTGATAGAGGGGACATTTGAATAAGCTGGTCACAAGATGAATTCTACCTTTTAAATGATTTATATACGCTTATTGGCAGTCTTCATTGTCGTATGGCAATTTAGGTAAACTCAGATTTACAAAAAAAAGAAGTGTGAACGGTGAACACTAGCACAAAATAAAGCCTTCTGTGCATCTGTGCACATACCACCTTGAAGCCCTGACTGTACAGTTGATAAAGTAACTAATTCTTTTGTCTGACAATAACCATTCAAATTGTGCAATTAGAATGGGTATTGTCAATCACTCTCGCAAAAGAAAGGAAATATTTCAGTTACTTGCGAAAGTAAATACAACAGTCGCAAACTTCTAAGAAGATCAATGTTTTAGATCTGTCGAGAGTGAACAAATAATTTGTGTGGCCAGTTACTGCACACCGTTCTAAACCGCATCATTTTGCTCTTCATGGTAACACACCGTGCAACTATCACTACCCTTTCCAGAAAAGATGCCATAGGTTTATTCACGACACTGTTACAGTTGCGAAAGCTTGCTTTTCAACAGTTGCAATATTCAACTACACTTCAAACGTGAGTTGTGTGGGAGACACTGGCATTAGGTGTTTACAGCTTTCACAGATGACTCATTATAGAACACCTATGCCCAGCAACTTTAAATTTTAGGCTCCAATAAAAGTCAAAAGCACAAACTACCATAAGGTATGTCTTCTGGTCTTAAGTTATCACAATTCTTTGGACTAGACCAATTGGGAGGTCAGTCTAATACAACAGCAACATGACATTTCACATATTGGTTTTTGAAGGAGCATAATTTCAGAAAATTCTTTAAGACAGTAAATCACTTCAAAGAAGCTATGTCAGTATGAAGAAATAAAACCCAACTTTCATTTTTTGGGCAGCATTTCTTTTAATTTTCTTTTATTCTGATCGGTGATAGACATGCATCATTCAATTTAACCCACCCTTGTAAGACTGTTAATGCGACGAAGGCGGCTCTGCTTGACATGGCATTTTAAATAGAATGAAAATTGATTTCTGAATTATTGAGTGTTATTTGTTCATGTCCATTGTGATCTAGCTTAAAACTATTTCCACTAGTCTGATAATACCACATCTCCTTTATTGTTGGAAGCTAAGCAGACTCGGACCTGGTTAGCACCTGGGAGACCTGGGTCATGAAGTATATTCAAGGCTGAGACAGACAGATTTTTAAATCAGTAAGGTAGTTGAGCATTAAGGGTAAAAGGCAGGAAAACAGACTTGAGGAACATTAGATTAGCTATAATCTCATTGAATAGTGAAGCAGATTCAATGTGTGAATGGCCAACTTCTGCTCCAACGTCTTCTGGTCTTAAGGTTTCAGAATTCTTTGGACTGGACCGATTGGGAGGTCCGTCTAATACACTAGCAACACGACTGTTCTTCTCTCTTTGGGCTCTATCCCTACCTATTTTTTATTCCTTAACCCCTCTCCCCACCCTTGCCGCAGCGCACGGGGGAGTGAGCTCCGGGCAGAGACCAGTACGGGGGAGACCGTCCTGGAACTTACCTTGGAGCAGCTGAGTGCCAGTATGTAACAGACAGGAGGCTTGGAGTGGAGTGGGGATGGCTGTTGGACTGGGGTCTGTTGCAGTCGGTCAGACCATGTGCAGAGGCGCTACAATGTAATGCTTATTTGAAACTTTTTTTACTTGTGATGTCAATCCTTTAATGATGTCTTATTTCTAACTTTTTTTAAAAACTCTGTAAAGTAACGCAACTGCTTTTTATTCCTCTTTTGTATCCAAAATTTGTACCTACATACTTCTCCCTGAAATGGCACCATAAGAGCCAGACATTGTAAATGCTTTTCACTGTACTTCTACAATGGAGTAGATGTGACAATAAAGGATATTCGATTCTATAAAGGACATTCTACTCTACTGCATATAAACCCATTTCCCGAGCCATCATCAGTTCAGGGGAAGGGTCACGTTAACTTTGACTTCTCTCCACAGATGCTGCTCGACCTGCTGAGCTTTTCCAGCAACTTCTGTTTGTGTTGCATACATCTCTAGTTTGAAATCCAAGCTTTAAAATAAGTGATATTAATCATACAACCTTCAATATAGTATGTTCTGTATCAATAAAGCCACTTAGACAACAGTCGTAAGATTTATCCAACGCTGTGGCCATACAGTTAAAATAAAGACATACACAATTCTTTAACATTTAACAAAATGGGGCAACACTGAATTATCAGAATTACTAAGAAGGTTTTTATTTTAATAAAGGAGAATTACCTGCCAACAGGTCTCACTACTTCTAAAGAATACAACATTGTAAATATAAGTTATTGCAGCATTCACCCTACGCATACTGCGACTTCAAATATACAATTCATATTTCATACTGGGTAATAATACAAATGGAAGTGAGAATTTGAGCCAAAAAGGTTTGCATAAAGGCCAAAATGTATGGTGGCCCCAAACAAAAAGTACAAATGAGCCAAATTTGGACACAGGCATCCTATCACACTTTTGACTTGTACATGGACAGGCTTTGGGGTGTCAGGTGGTGAGTTACTTGCTGCAGTATTCATAGGCCTCCGACCTGCTCTTGTAAAAAAATGTGTGGTGGAGGAAGGTAAAAAGGTTGGGGAGTAACACCAGGCAAAATGCTCCTGTGGAGAGTTAACACAAACAAGACAGACAACAGGCTACCTCCAGTGCTATAATAATTTTGAGATTTATGAAGTGATGGCTCTGATGCATATCCTTTGAATGGTGAAAGGGTACAAATAACCAAAATACCACTGTTCTTTCCCACTGCAATGTAGTCTGACTTGCAATGCATCTCCATTTTCACATTTCAAAAATTCACTTGCTAAGGAGGTGTGCTTATTATTTGTTTACTAACCCACTGCCCTATTACAGAATTGCATTAAAACCACCAGAAATAAATTCTTTACAAGAGCTAGCATCCTCTAAATCTTCTCTGAACTGAAAATAACTGTGGATGCAGGGTACATTTAGAAATGAATCATTGACAAAATGAAAATGTCAAATTAAAGATGTTTAAAATCATAAATCAAATTCCTTTCTTTC